CCTCCGCCCAGCAATTCAGTCCCTCAGGGAGTTTGGATGTGTCTATGGGGCTTCCATGACCTTTCCTTGTACAAGTTGTGCTGGTTTCCCCAGTATTGTGTACTGTCTCACCCTTCATCCAAGATACCACTTAGCTATTGCCTATTTAGTATTCCCGCCCCCTCATCCTTATAACCAACAAAGATTGTTACATTTTGTGTGTGAACTTTTTCATGGGTTTTTACAATGAGGTCTCATACAATATTTGTTTCCTGTACATATTTTTTTATACTATTTAATGTTTGGACCATATGACTATTATCATAAAGCAAGGCAGTAAGGAAGGAATATTACCTGACTCTCCTGGGCTCGCTCTTCCTCTTCTGCTTGAGTGTCAGTATTGCCTTATATTAAATAAAAAAAACAAACAATTGCAGGGGGAGTAGAAAATGAATTACAGTCTGTTTTCCTTGCTATTCAGTGAAATGGCCATCGTTAGACACGCATTTTCACGTGGAATTTCCCGGGGCCTCTTACAGAACACGGTGTTGAGCTCCTGCTCCCCATCTGGACCCTGAAGGGTCTCAGAGGCACTGGCCCCATCCCCTTGGGTGTTCTCTCTGCACACTGGCCAACTAGTGGGTAAGAGTACATGCTGTACCCTGGGTATTTAACAAAGGACTCGTCTCCGTCCCCCTCCACTGAGGGCACCGCTAGCACCATGTTCGCTGCTGTGACGGCAGCCATCACCTGCCAACTAATGCTGTGACCACACTCAGCAAAGCACGGGGACATCCAGGAGTGGGACACCAGGATCCCGGACCCGGGTCATGACCAGCTGTCATGTGATTAAACCATGGAGCACCGCGGACAGCTGGTCCAGGTCGGGAGCAGCCCACCAGCCGCCTCACCGCCCAAGCCTCCTGGGAACCGGGCTCTGCAGGAAGCAGTGGGTGCGCGGGGAGGGCCCGCAGTCGGCAACTTACCTGAGGAGCTGCTGAGCTGCCTCTTGTTTTCTTTGAGTTGGAGCTCCAGGTTCTTTACCTTTAGCTCAAGCTTCACCTTGTCAGACTCTAGAGACTGAACCACTGAGTGCAAGGACTTGGCAGAGGCGTTTTCTCCCCTGAGCACTGTGACCTGAAACACAGGTGTGGGCTTAGGCGCAGAGCTTACACTCGGCCGCAGAGAGACAGCAGGCATGCCCCCTCCCCAGGCGGCACGTTACCTCATTTCTCAGCTTCTCCAGCTCCGCATCCTTCTCTGTGAGTAAGGCACTAGTGATACTGATGGATTTCTGCAGAGAAGCTTTCTCTTCATCTGTATCTTTTATGTACTTGGATTCTCTAAAAGACCAAAGAGTTAAAAGTTTCAGAAATCAACCAAGAGCGTGGTCAGTATACAACTGTGCTTAAAAAAAAACTTGGAAAACAAAAAAACACACAATTCACTTTAGTTAATGTAAAAAAACCAAAAAACAAAAAATGTGGAACAGGCAGGTTTCATAGGGGGTTAAGACTACTATGCTTGCAAAATTTTACTTACTGTGAGGGGAGAAAAGTGTACCTATGCATAGACAAGCCAGAATCTGCATATCATTGTAACCATTCGAATTTAAAGAAACAGTTATTATTTTAGAAGACGCAGAATTAAAAACTGTTGCACTCTCCCCCAAAACAATCCCACTAAAATCTAAGCCCGAGTTGAATTCTGTTACTTCTTGAATAAATTATTACCAAGCAATTACAACAATTAAAAAAAAAATACACACATGCAAAGCAACTGTATATGATGTCATGCAGAGCAGTTTTATGCTGGAAGTATCCATTGGTTCTCACTAATTTCAGTAACTTTTTCGCAAGTTCCAAGAATGTGGTTTTGAGATATTATGGGCCAAAACAATAGCAAAGATTATGATGACTATTCAGACTGAAGGAGTACTGCTTTTCAACCCCAGAATGTGAAGAGGACATTCGGTTGCTCATAAAAATGAAAGGTAATTCGGTAAACGCAGAATGGATGCATGGGAGCCTGAAGGGAGAGAGTCGGGGGCCTGCGTTTATGTTCTTGGCCGACCCACCTGAGTGGGCGCTGGCTCAGGGGCACCACTTCAGCACTGGCTATCAGGTAATGGCGGGGAACAGGGGGTGAGGCCTTTAATGAGAGGGAAACATGTATCTAGGGTCCAAGGGAGTGGGAGAAGACAGGCAAGGATGAAGGACAGAAGGGGAGGGAGGGCGAGACACAACAGACACAACTCAAAGGGCAAGCTAGTATGTGTGTATCTATCTATAGTCATGTTTGGGTTGTAAAAGCTGTATGCAAGCCAAAGTACCCAGGTCAGAAAGACAAGGAAAGACTGAGAACTGAGACAGACTGGCGGAGACTGAGGAGCTACAGCAACTCAATGCAATGTGGCTTTCTGGACTGGATCCTAGAAGAGAAAAACAACTTTGATGGAAAAACTGGGGAAATCCAGATAAAGTCTAGAGTTCAGTAGCGTCCCAGTGTTAATTTGTTAGTTTTGATAAACGTACCACGATTATGTGAGAAGTTAACATTCGGGGAAGCTGGGTGAAGGGGATAGGGGAACTCTTTGTGCAACTTTTCAACTCTTCTGTAAATCTAAAGTTATTTTAAAACAAAAAAAAGGCATTTAAAAAAAATTACATGCAGTATGAAACACGAGAGGAAAAAGACCCTGTATCACAAAAGTAGTGGGGGAAAAAAATGAAACTAGAGAAAAATTTCCTAGCTAGTCCTCCGGCCATACCGTCTTTACTGTCCCACACCTCTGACAGTGCGTTAACGCAAACATTCACCTTCAGGGAGCGGCGTTCGTAACTTCAACTAGTCAAATTACTCTCGGTTCTGTTGGAAGTAACTGGGTGAATGTGAAGCATATAATGGTTCCGTCCATTTAAGAATTGACTAGAAGAAGAGGAGACTGAGGCCCAGGTTAGAAATGACAGGATGTATGTCTGGTTAGTGAGACCCAAGATATCCGGCACACGAATTACAGAATTCTCATGATTGATGGTAAATTGAAATTCTACACAAAGATGAAAATATAAGTGTTGTATTTATCTCATTGTGTGGCTGACACTTAACGCCCCAGAATGTTAAGTAGTAAGAAAAGAATCTGAGACTTACAGGAATTTCTTGAATTCCACACCCAAGCTTTCTATGTACACTGGAAAGGGGCAGACATCAGTGCTGTGAAATTACTAAGTGAGTAACACACACCTTGCTAGGAAACAGGATCTTGTTTTGGTGAAAATAAAACAAAAATTTTAATGGAAGGAGTGTACAGGTACGTTTTGCCACCTGGAAAGTAAATATCTGGTGTTATCCACAGATTTAATAAATCCTGGGATTCTTAAGCTTCTGTTAAATTTATTTGACAGTTTATTCTATTGTGAAAATATTTCAAAAGCTACCCTTGTTATAAATCCACGCTTGTTATGAATCTTTGAAAAATGTAATCTGACGTGTTTTTACCAAAAAAAATCAGGATTTGGTGGTTGCTTAACAGATTTCCCTTCTGCTATAATCAGGACTCGAATTAGCCAAGATCCCACAGATTCTTTGTGTTGGGGTGGGGTAAACACATCACCAGCTGGCAGAAGGAAAAGGGAATGGGGACATTCTCTGGTGCCACCAGCCCAACACTCTGCTCACAGTCACGTACACACACAACCCCTAAGCGAGCTTGCTTTCTGAGAAGACGGCAAGCAGAAGGTTTCCTATGTAAGTTATCAAAAGATGCACGGCTGAGAAGGAGACGTGACCTGTGGTTTCTATGCCAAAGACATGACAAAGAGACCTCGACAGCTCATCAGATCTGCACTGCTGGCTTCTTAGGCCACTTCTAAGCCCTAATCCCACTGCACACACCAAGAGGGGCTAAATCAAGCCATTTATGCCAACATTACTGCCCTCTGAGTCACAAATCAGACCGACAGGGAGCCCCTATGACTTTACATTGTCCAGCAATTGACTTGCATTGTTGAAAAAATCAAGAAGGGAAGAGAAGCACAATGTGAAAGAAGGGCTGCGGGGGCCAGAAATCCTCTTCTCGCCCCAAACCCCGAGGGAACATACTACCGAGATTCTTTCCTTACTACTTCAATCAGAAATAAATTCCAGTCGTGAGGCAAAAACCTTACAGTGTTACTGGGCAAGCTTTAAAAAAGCAAATATTAGACGCATGAAGAGAAATGCCAATACAGTAAGGAGAACTAAATTCGCACTGAAGTTCTTTGCTGTATTTGGATATAGAAAAGGAATGTGTGTGTGTTTGTGTGTGTGTGTGTGTGTGTGTGTATACTGCTGAGAATATTTTACAAAACAAAAGCAAGACACAGAGGGACAAAGGCAGCCAAAAAATATGTACAACAACTTGGTTTACTAAAAATATATGAAGTTTATTTATTATAACGTGGATAGACTTTCTTTAGTCTTACCATTAAAGACACACAGATATAGCAAAGGAAGCAAGAGTAGGAAAGGGAAAAGAGAGGAGTGAAATGAGCACTGGTGAGCAGCTCGGAGACAGTCAGACACTTAGCAACCCACAGTGCGCTTCATGAGCTGGACTAGCACACGGCCTCTTCAGAACTGGGAAACGGTGGCGTCAACCCGCGTTTCATTCCTGGCACAACTCGGGCATTTGTACTAACAGAATTAATTCTGACTCCAAAAATTCCACATCTAAGATTTTGATTTTGGAGTCTCTTCTTTGGCATCAAAAAGCCCAGAGAAGGGAGGAAAGCCAGACAGGTTCCCAACCCTGCTTTAGGTTGAGTGGAACGAGGAACAAACCTCTCCAGTTCTGCCAATTCAAGCCATTCAAGGGTTCCTCTGCTTTATCTGTTAGACATCTTGGAACCTGTTCTGAAGGAAGTCTGCCTAACTCGGGAGACCAATTTCCCAAAGAAATAACATTTTTAAACTTAGAGAAAAATCTTTACTACATATGGCTTGCTACTCATGTTGGCAGTTTCTGAAAAACCACGGCAAACACGGAAGGAGGCTGCTAAGTTTTCAGTGATCACTACTTTCAACCTACAGTCAGAAGCCCTACAGGTAAGTTAAAGAGGCAGTGAAGGTGTAACTGGAAGTTGCACTTCAATATAACAACCATGTGAATGTAGTGACTGCATACCTCCCTGGCTATGAGCGTCCAATGACCATGTCTAAAGCAACACTGCAGACTAGGCCCTCAGTTCTTGCGTGAATAACATTTCACATACCCTCCTGATCTAAGTGTTTTCCAGACTTTTAAATTAAGATACTATAAATTGTTTTTAGCACTCTCTGCTAGATAAATTTACTTAACCATTACACACATAGACCTATATATAAATCTTTTACCAAACTGACTCTCAGAAAGCATTTCAGGGCCCAAATTAATAGCTAAAATACATTTACGTTCAGAATTCTAAATCAGGAATGTTTTTCCATGGAGGTTAATTAAACAATAAACAAGCAAAACACCAATTCCAAATGTGAGAAGCTAGGAGGTTTTAAAAATTATCACTCCAAGAAGGAAAAAACAAAAGCAAACGAATAAACAAAAAAAGTCATCTTTATCTTCATTTACTGATCAAAATAACCAAACACGTCCAGGACTTAAAACAACAGCAGATGGTCAGGTAAGGGAGAGCATTACACAGTACCCAAACTGGTTCCATCTTTTTAAGCCATGAAAAGTCACAGGCCTAACCACACTTTGAAAGGCACGTGATTTAGTTAAGGTCACACAGTAAGTACTGAAGAAGTACAGCATCTTTCTTTAAAAAGTTAAGTAAGTAAGAAATAAATGAAAGTCTTGAAAGTATAGTGAGAAGAGGACCCACATAAAAATCATAAAAGTTCTCAGCCGAGTTACTTTTTGGGCTTTAATTTCATCGTTTTTAAATGCAAGGCCACCGTATATTTCTTTTTTTTGTTTGTTTGTTTGACTTAAATTTTTATTGTCGTAATTAAATGCCACCATATATTTCATGGGCTGTTTTGAATTAGATGAATCTGTAAGTTATTTAGTGCTACATAAAGGTAATGGGAGTGCCAGTACACACCAACCCATTTTATAAGCTTCCTTGCCGGAATACCATAGGAACAAGCCCTGTTTCTTTTTTTCACTTGTCCTTAGTAACTGATTACATAGCCTTATTTATGTAAAATTGAATACCCTGGTCCTGACATGGGGCAGAGCTGTGCCTGTACACAGGAGCTAGGTGCAGCAGGGCAGGCCAGTCACACCTGGTCATCTGGAGAACACCTGGCTGGACCAGGGGCGCAGTAGAGGTGAGGCCCACGTGCGTTCTGGAATACGAACACCACCTTGGTGAGATGTTAATGAATCTATTTCTTTTCTTTTCTTTTTTCCTGTTTTTTTATTATTGTGCTCTAGGTGAAAGTTTACAGCTCAAGTTAATTTCTCATACAAAAATTTATACACATATTGTTTTGTGACATTAGCTGCTGAATCTAAGTATTTCTTAATCAAGAAACGCCACCTCTGGGCCGAGCCTATGCGACGGAAGTGACTTGATGGCAGTGGGTTTTGGGTCGAGCCTAATGTCCTTTAGGATGCAGCTTATGGAACTCACATCTCTCTGTGGGCTACATAAAGCCCCAAATTCCTAAGCAACTGCCGTGCTAGCAGGAAGAACACTGTCCATGTCAAACATGTCGTCAGGATGTCAGTGGGGAATGTTCTTGTGTCCAGACAAGTAAGAGAATAAATACTTTGCAATAGCATACAGCCCTGGTGGCAGAGTGGTTAAGAGCTTGGCTGCTAACCAAAAGGGCGGCAGTTCGAATCCACCAGCCGCTCCCTGAAAACCCTATGGGGCAGTTCTACCCTGCTCTGTGGGGTCACTATGAGCTGGAATCGACTTGACGGCAACGGGTTTGGTTTTGGTTTTTAAAAGAGCGTAGAGGAATTCCTGGTTATGGTACTTTTAAAGGTTTTGTTTTTTATATTATTTTCTTTTTAATAAGAAACAAAGCACGCCACTGTTCTGATAAGCATCTGTTCAGTATTCTATGCCAACTACTGTATAGGCTGTGTCTCCAGCCGCAGTACACACTACACCTACTCGGCGTGCAGCTATGCGGAGCCAGGATTTCCCTAGACACAACCTGCATAATTTACAAGAGCAGACAGTGGCCGTCAGGATGTATAAGCATCAGGCTTTGAAAACAGTTGCTTCTGTGGGCCACTTTCATCTTTACTCAAAAGTACTGGAAAAATAATATTTGCTTTCTGTTTGAATAATCTTATTATGGAGAATAATAAATAACAAAGGTCTTTTTTAAAGAAAATAAACAGAAACATTTGAAATGGTGTTAAAACCCATTATTATTGAAAAATTGGAATTTTCATATAACTGAGATCAGTTATTTATGTGTGGATCCATGGCTACACGTACAATTATGGTATTTTTAGTTACTGAAACTAGAAGGTAACATCAGTGTAATATAAGAACCTGATTTTAGAACGCTTCCTAATAAATGCAATTGGACATAACTTAAAAATTAAACTATTCTTTTAGTAATTAATAGTAAAAATTTTGCAAGTGAATTTTTTCATAATCTATCAATTATGAGTACATCAAACTATCACAATGCAATTTTCTGAATACGAGGTCTCTTGTTTTCTCCTGTAAGTCACTGTCCACATCATGTTCTGGCATTTTCCTTATAAGACAGACACACACACACACCCACCAATAAACAAAGAAAGCAAGCCTACCTCTTTTTCATTTCTAACAACTGATTATTGAGCACAGATCTCTCTTCTTCCAGCTGGGGAGACAAAAACATACAAAAAAAAAACAAAAAAACAGAAAAGTTCAGTTCATAACAAGTTCACAGAAAGGACTGCTTCTCATCCCACATGTCACATTCCCAGGCGCCAGGGCAGCAAAAGCAATTCGCTTTCCTTGCAGGCAATGAAAACGGCCAAGTATCCACTCTATCACAGGATGTACCACTATTAATTTACAAATCATTTATGACCTGAATGACACCCTTCTTCATGGGGATGGAGTTAAAAAAATCAAATAGCAACCCCTTGAGCCATCCACGGCACATCTTAGGCATCAGTAAATGTCTGCTGAATGAGGGAATGAGGGAATGCTTTGCTATTAACATTCTGGTCCCTTTAGTTACACAGCAGATTTCAAGTGTCACCTACTCACAGAAGGCTGAGAAGAGATCATTTAACCTATATGGGCCTCATTTTACTCACCCACTATCTCAATAAATATTTATTGAATAGTGTGATGGTTAATGTTATGTGTCCATTTGGCTAGGCTATGATTCTCAGTGGTTTGGTAGATACTATGTAATCATCTTCCATTTTTGTGATCGGATGTGAACAGCCAATCAGTTAAAAGGGGAGTTTTCTTGGGGGTGTGGCTTGTCTCCAGTACATAAATGCACTCTCTGGCAAAGCTCGCTGTCTTTCTCGACCACACACTCTTCTTGTTGCCTGACATCCAGTCCTTGGGACATAAGCCTGAGTCTCTGGCCTGCTGCCTGGCCTGCAGATTTTGGGTTCATCAGTCCCTGCAAACACATGAGCCAGCAGAGGTCTTCAGCCTGTTCCCTGACCCATGGATTTGGGACTTGCCAGCCCCTACGACTGCATGAGTCATTTCCTTGAAGTAACTTTTTATCTCTCTATATATATATCTATATATCCTTCATTGGTTTTGCTCCTCTAGAGAACCCAGACTAACACTAATGGCTACTGTATTCCAGGCATTTGTTTCTCATCTAAAAAAAAAAAGGTTAAAAAAGAATTTCCAGTGGCCTGATAGCTCCAAAATTCTACTATTCCACAAAGGATTAAAAAAATAAAATAAAAAAGATTCAGTTAGTTGATCTTATGAGAAAAGACTCATCTCTACCCCTAACCTGCAACACAAAGTGTTTAACCAAATACCAATTTCAACTCTTTCATGTGTTTTTGTAAATCAAGGGATAACACCAAAGACTATGTAAAGGCTTCCGATCTCCCAGAATTGAAGATACTCTACGTCATCATAGTCATGTTACTAACTATGCAGCAGTTATGTAATGCTTTGCTATAAGGGCTTTATATTTAAAAACACCCTTAAATGTACATAGACATGTATGTTTTAAACATAAACATACATTTATCATGAAATCTACAGAGATTAACATATAGGTTTGTTTTGTTTTTTTTACCACAGACTCTTTGCCTTTCCTGGTCCATTAAGATACATGCTTTTGCCGCATGAGTAATTCACAGAAATATTTAGAAATCTTTAGAGTGAAAGGAAGCAAAAAGAGTGGGAGGCAAACTTTAAAAAATGAAACAGAGAAAACAGCTGGAGAGTGGGATGTGGAGAGGAGAGGGGCTTCCATTTTTTCCTTTATGTCCTTTTATATGGTTTATTTTTTTAAACAAGGAACCTGTTTTATAATTTAAAAAAATTAAACAAAAGGAATAAAATCAATAAAGACTGGGAAGTGTCTACGATGAATGTATCAATGGATAAAGGAAGGATATGGTAGATAATTCAAAAGAGAAAATACAAGTTATTAGTAAACATTTGAAAAATCATTCAATCTCTGCAAAAAGCAGCATGCAGATGCTATCCCTCTCTCGGCAGAGCCATTGTGTCTGAATGTCAAAGGAACAGAAGTTTGGGATAATTAGTGTGTACTGATTCCTCATAGAAAACAATTGTTTTTTCTTCCCTGGGTCTAGGATCCACCCAGCATTAACAAGTTGCATTTGGCAGTCACATCTCTTTAATCTGAACAGTTCTTCACGCTTGTCTTTTGTGGTCCTGAAACTTTTGAAGAGTATAGCCCAGTTATTTTGTAGAAAGTCCATCTATTTGGATTCATCTGATGTTTCCATGTGCTTAGAGTCAGATAACGAACTTTTGGCAGGAACATCACAAAAGCGACCCTGTGTCCTTCAAAGAACATGGTATCAGGAGGCACACAGTGTTGATCTGTTCCATTTTTTGGTGCTGTTAATTTTGATCAGTTGATTAAGGAAGTATCTTTCATGTTTTCCCACTTCAGAGGTACCATTTTCTTTCTTGGTAATTAATATGTATTTTGTGGGGGAGATACTTTGAAACTATGTAAATATCCTGTTCCTCAAACTTTCACCCATTGGTTTTAGCAGTGATTAAAGATTCTTGCCTGAAAAAGCTATTACCGTGATGGCTACCAAATAGTGATTTTTCTAATTCCATCATTATATATATTAGTTGGCATTTTACTGTAAGGAAGGCATTCGTTTTCTTCCATTTATTTGTTTGTATCTGTATAGACTCATGGTTTCCTATTTTATTCACTAGGTTATAATCGGCTACTATCATTATTTTTTTGATGTTCCAATTGTCCCAGGTTTGGCCAGTGGAAGGCCCTTCCGGATGGCTCGGATGTCCTTTTGACAAATCCCATTATTCTTTAAGCACTTCCTTGCTTTCTGGTACAAGCTACTCCAGGTTCATCTTGTTCTCTCTCTCCATTCCACTCCTGGAATCAGCCATTTCTCTAAGAGACCCTCGTTCCTTTTAGTGGAGAAGAGTATTTAGAAACTAAGATGTGGGTGCTAGATGTGCTCAGTGTCAATGCTTCTAAACTCTCTCAGTGGGATTCATCAAAATTTAAAACATCTGCTCTTCAAAAGACATTGTTAAGAAAGTGTAAAGACAAACCACAAACTGGGGGAAAACATTTGCAAAACACAAATGTGATAAAGAACCTGTATCAAGAACATATTAAGAACTTTCACAACTCAATAAGACCGACAACAAAATTTTTTAAAATGGGGGAAAGATCTGAACAGATACTTCGCCAAAGAAACACAAATGGCTAATAAGCACATAAAAAGATACTCAACATCATTAGCCATCAGGGAAATGCAAACTAAAACCACACTGAGATATCACTCCAAACGCCACTTGGAGGCACTCAAGGGTCCACCCCAAGGGCCCCCTAGTCAACACATGAATAAAATGCACAATTATAAAAAATGGCAATACTAAGTGCTGACAAGTATGTGGAGTAGCTGGAAATCTCTTAAGTTGCTGGTGGGAATGTAAAATGGTAATCATTTGGAAAACCGCTGAGCATACACCTACCCTCAGATCCAGAGATCCTACTCTTAGGTGTCCACCCAAGACAAATGAAAACGCATGCCCGGGTCTGTTCATGAACGTTCTTAGCAGCTTTACTCACAAAAGCCATCAGCTGGAACAACCCAAATGACCAGATGGATAAACAAATTGTGATGGAACCACAAATGTCCAGTTAAACCAGCTGCCATCAAGTCAATTCCGACTCATGGTAACCCCACGTGTGTCACAGCAGGACTGTGCTCTGTAGGGTTTCCAATGGCTGATTTTTCAGAAGTAGATCACCAGGCCTTTCCTCAGAAGTGCCACTGGGTGGACTTGAACCTCCAACTTTTCAACTAGCAGCTGGGCAGCCTTTCCCATTTGTACCACTCAGGAATTCCCCTGCTTTTGTGGACTCAGTAAAACCACTTGGATAAAAATCTTCAGAGAGGAGTAACAATTCTCATTTCTGTTTCATTCACTGCTGTCTCTTCTACTTCTGGAACAGCCAGGCACACAGTAGGCACTCAATAACTGTGTGTCACACAGTCAGTAAACCAGTGTGCCCAATGGGGCTGAATCAGCAGTGGCACTTAGAAGCCTGGGTTCTCACAGAATAAAGAGCTATGCCTGCCGCACCAATCTAGTCAAGGCTCTGTGAAGCCGATTCTTTCCTCACCCATTTCCCTGGTGAGGTGCTTCACGTCTGCACTATTCCCGTCTCTTCTCTAAGAAGCGTTCTGAGGTCCAAAATAGCAGCTCTACCTTGACAGCACAAAACACATTCCTGTGTCTGAGGCTTTCTAGTCTCACCGCCCACACACTGACACACAGACTTCTGCTCTTGGAAAAGGCAAAGGTAATGGGGGGAGGGGGCAAGGAAGAGAAGGCTTCACTCATTTTTGTGGCAAAGCCCTTTCAGAGAAGAAAGGAGTGAGGAGTGGATGCAGTGATGCAATTGTCTAGACTTCTTCAAGGGAAGCCTTGCTGCCCAGCTCTCGGCCCCTTCAGGAATGGCCTCCAGTGCACAAAGCCCCCTTCCCAGGGTCACGCCCCACCCCAGGGTGAATCATGCCCAATGACTGATCAGTGAGAAAGTACAAAAGGCTGGGCATCTCAGTTCAAATTAAGGCAAACCTGAGGGGCCTCTCTAGCTCCTAGCTCCCTGTGGGTTCGGGCAAGGCTGGCACTGGGCCTACATCACAACTCAACTCCTCCCTCTGTCCAGTCCTGCTTCCTTCTCCTCCTTTCCACAGATCTGTCCCAAGGGCACACCTTAATAAACATCACCCACACTACACACTCTCAGCCTGCTTCCCAGAGCGCTCCACCTGCAACAGGATGCATTAGGTTACTGACTTCATTCTTAACAGACACAGGAAGATCGCCTGCCTTGGAGACTGGTTTGCATTCATATGAGTATGTATATGAATATGTACGTGTGTACATATGAGTGTGGGCATATACACGTGTGCATGGTATATACATATATATATATATACACATAAATATATTTACATGCTCAAATACATACACACACGTATCATGGTCCTTCATCAAAGGATGCTGTTGATGGCGTGACCATAGAGTGGGAAGCCTGTGACTGAGTGAGACATACCTATGATGTTCTTCTTAATACAGTGCACACGTGGCACCTTGTTCTTTAGTTTTTACCTCTGGGTGCTGAAAAGA